TTGATCTATTCGAGCGGATAAATCGATTGAGCAATTTTTGTTTCTATAACAAACCTAAGTTTTAAACATAAAGCATAATCTCGAAAATCACTTAATGAGCAGGTATGTTCTTGTTTGGGATATTCAAATTTTCTTGTTGATAAATAGTCATTATTTCACATTCTTTCGAAAGTACGTTAATTACAGGCATTAGCATAATGTGGTAATCTTATACGATTCTGTGCTGCTGCTGAAACGTTTTTATTATTAGGAAATGCTTTGAATTATTTCATTCATTGTTTAACGTCGCATAAATTTTGTTAACGACAAAGCCATTCCACAATAATCGTCGATGACAGAATTTCGAAATGCGTTGTTAATTTTGAGTTATATCTGGGAAAATATTAAACTACCGACGTCGAGAAACCATTTGAATAATGAAAATATGTGACAATGACGTCAATAGCATATTTTTAACAATGACTCACGCAGTTTAAAAAATTGTTGAATCTCAGGAGGATTTCTTATAGTTTTGATCATCATCTTGTTTTTCATCCTCATCGCTCCAAGTTGCCACTTACCTGGAACGAAAGAAAAATATGAGCAAACTGATTCATTCTGAGAAAATACTAGATGAGAGTTTAATTGATTTCAGAAGTGTTCACGCTAAGATATTGGTTTCTACGTTTTTGAGACAACACAACATCATTGAAGATGTTTTTTCGTCAAACGTTGAAGAACACTATGTATTGTAATACACAGTTGAATTTGTCATTACAATGGCTACAAAAATTGATGAAAAAACTAGAGGTCAGTGTGTGAAAAAATAAAGTTGGTGGTGACATCTTACGAACGAAGCATCGCATTGCAAATTGGTATGTATCAGATTATGAAAAATATGGAAAAGTATTTATTGAAAGTTTCTCTGCCACTCAGGATGTAGGTAGCAAAAAAATTTATCCAGTCTTTTTTTTCTACTTTTTCATGGTTTGGGACAATTCCGTGATATTTTCTGTCGATCCCATCATCATCATCGTTATCATCTACTCAGGGTTGCTTTACTCAGGACAGAATGAGTTGAAACGTTGCAATCATGTCCGTCCTAGTACCACTGATTAGCTCTACAGAAAATTGAATCAGTGCTGACTGATGTGTGATCTCGTATGGGCTCTAATATCCCAATTTTTATTAACCAGTATATTAACCAATAACTAAATGTTAGGTCTACTGTGTGTACAAAATAAGAAGAGTCAACATAGAAAAATCAGGAACCAAACAAAACAGATAGGAAGTCTATTGAATCAGGAAAACATTTTCTGATTGCCACTTTTGAAGTTGAACAAGATGGCGATTACAGATTTTAATTCAACATTTAGTCTCTGAGAAACAATCATCGATTTAATTTTTTTATATGGACCATAAAAAAAGAATTACCTGGTTTATATTCACTTTTATTACCACAACTTCACTGATGTATCACCATAATCGTTTGATTAGTAAGTTTTAAAATATCATTTGAACAAGCTCAACTTCAACCGACCTTGTATCTCTTACGGTTTCTTTCATGACTATGTGTTCGGAAAATATCATAAGGTTTTTCTGACTTTGAAGGGTCGAAATTTATTTCTCCTCAAAAATTTACGAACTGACGTAGTCGATAATATAGCACAATGATGTGCAATCTCCCTCAATGATACTTCTTTGTTTTAAATTTTTCGAATGAATATCACTTTATAACTTTTTTTTCAATTATATATACTTTATTGTCCAAAGAAAAAATATTGTTGACTAAGTTAGTAAATAAATATGAAAGAATACTACTGATAATTTCTCTTGGAGTTACCCAAAACGCCAGTTTCAGTATCGCCACTTCTTTAAGTTACTGTACAACTCTTATACTCGAGAGTTTTTCAAATGAAGCATGATTCCGTAAACTCCTCTCAATGCGTTGAAAATATATTTTGAAAGGCTACTTGTCTCAGGGTACAATTCCCCATACAAAGCTACAAATCCAGAAGTATTTAAAAAAATCTTGTATATACAAAAAGTATATCAACTATCTGGTCATTAGAAAAATTCATTGTTTTCCCCTCACGGATTCACAAGAATTGGATCATTATTTACGTACTTGACAGTGAATTTGACAATCATCAATATTATGTTGATTCATGACTCACGTTGAACAAATCAATTTATTTCAGTTCTCAAGTAATTTTTTTTTCTCCACTATTTTTGTCTGCCAGAAAACATCAGAAATAAACATTTATAGTCCATGAAAATTAGACGTGTCCCTATAAAATCCCTGGAATGCACGAGTGTTCACTTCTATTTACAAATTTTCAAAAGATGTATGGACTTGATATACCATTGATATTTGTTTCTACCTTTCTGAAACTACACAAATATTGATGATGTTTTTTCGGAGACAAACGTAGGGAAACACATGATGAATATTTCAGAAACAACCGCCGATATTCTCGATCTGAAAAGAGATTACCAGATTACCAAGAAATATTGTATTTGGAATAACATATATTCAAAATATAGGATTTATTGAAATATTATTAATTGAAAAATAAATTTTCGAAATGTTTCTATTCATAAAATAATATTTTTTCGTGTTGATTTATGGTAGCTTCAAGCCTAACTTTCACTTTTGATATTATCTGATTTCAAAAATTTCATCGTCAAGTATCGCTCTATTTATTGTTTTTGAATTATTCTCTGCACGCAAACCTATAGCAATTTACTAAGAATAATTTTCTTTGCGGTAATTGTGAAGTATTTCAACACATCAAATTATAGTAAACACCATTCTTGTTATACTTCATATGCAGGAGCTGTAATTATGGTAGATACGCTACTGGTCTAGAGTACCTTCATTTATTTTTACAGATTCTCATTATGAATTTATTGTAGAAAAAAAATTGTTGCCTAACCTGTTTTTCTGAAAAAGTGCAAAACTCTTTCAAGAAGAAACAAACAAGAAATATTGTTTTTTCGTCAAGCGGTTGAAAAACCCGTAAGGTGTGCGAATTCATGAGATCTAACACATAATCATCCGCTTCTACTTTTTAGACAGCGTCGTAATTAATGACAGCGTGAAGCGTGTAAATTACGATAATGAACTTTTGGACAAAGCCCCAAGACATTTTTAAGGATAAGTTAGAGGTAGTAAACATGTGAAATAAGACATAAATTTTATTATGAAATAACCATTATTGAGGATCAACTTGTCTGCTTGAATTGTTAAACTGGAGTAATAAAAAATACCTAATGGGAAGATGGCCCAGAGCAGAGTCCGAACAATTTTCGAAAGCCATTACGATATTCACATTTTGTATAATATATTTGAATGATTGCCCTTATGTGGGTTTGAATATCGAGCCTGGTAGTAGAGTTTTCCACCTTCAATACAAGAGTTGCTGTGACTCAAAAAATTGGAACTTTTTCAACAACATATCTGAGTATCGGTAAATTGTTGGCTAAATCGATTGACGAACAACAAAATATGTAAACAATTCCAGTGAGCGGAGAAGTGCTAGAAGTGGGATTGTTAATTTTTCCAAACCAATTCAGAAAATAACCAGATTTTTTATGAAGTTTATGTTATATCTATAGAAAATCGCATGAAACCCTGTCGGACAATGATATGAACCAAACGAGGTGATAATAATATAACGTAATCAATAATATAACATTAATAATGATATAACATAATAATATAACAATAATATAACTTTAGAGTTATTTTATGTACTTACATTACCTCAATCATATACACTAATTTGTATTTTTTTTCTTAGCGAATAAACATGATAATTATTATTATTCATTCCAAATGGAACAATTATTTCGATCAATAAATATAGAATAATAAACATGTATACTCACAGAATCAAGTGATTGTTTGTGCGTGAGTGAGACGAAGTAAATAAGACTCGTTAGATAGATCAATAATTTTCTAAAACTTCTAATATAAAGTTTTTCTTCAATGATATGAATATCTACCATGGCAGATTTCTTTCTTTGGCCTGATGACAGGTAGACTACTTACGGGTCAAATTAGAGTACAAATGAAGTGAACGATTTTTGGTGAATAAGTTGGGTCCAAAACGAAATGAAAAAAGAAATTCAAAATATTCGATTCATGCCGAATGGAATAACATGAATATAATGATCTGTAATAATTTTTTTTGTGACTCAAAGTATTTTTATAAATCCCCTATTTAGTGACCTCAAAAAATTTTGAGTTTTGTTTGTGAATTGAATCTTATAAGATGCATCCATATTTTTACTGAGAAATCATTCACACTCTCACTGTCTAACTGGAATGACATCATATTTGTCATCTTTCGAAGTTGTTATGAACAACTTTTCGTGAAATCGAAATATTTCATGGTCTTGTCTTGTTCTTGGTGAATTTCATCCGTTCGGACTTCCATTGCTTGATATTGTTAAGTTTTGAAATACTCTGTATTATATATTATTATGTTGTTATGTGAAATTCACACTCTCATTGTCTAACTGGAATGACATCATATTTGTCATCTTTCGAAGTTGTTATGAACAACTTTTCGTGAAATTGAAATATTTCATGGTCTTGTCTTGTTCTTGGTGAATTTCATCCGTTCGGACTTCCATTGCTTGATATTGTTAAGTTTTGAAATACTCTGTATTATATATTATTATGTTGTTATGTGAAATTCATATCAAGTTTGGGTTTTTTGTTATTTTCACATGGAGATAAGTTGTTGATAACAAGAAAGTGTCAAGCGAAAATAAAAGTTCCTTGAAAAAAGTTAAAAATATCTTTTTTTCCTAATTTCTCCATCAGAAAAAAAAGCTAAACATTGTGCTGGCGTTTCGACCGGATAACTGACTACGTATTTACAGGTAAAACTAAACATTGTGCTGGTCCTTCGAGCCGGATAACTACGTATTTACAGGTAAAACTAAACATTGTGCTGGTCCTTGAGCCTACGGAGTAAGCAATATGGAAACAAGAAGTAAAAGTCGAGCTCTGAAATCCAAGATCGAGGTTCCCAATAACGATTCTAAGCGAGGTGAAAACAAGATATCTTCTACCAAGCTGGGTCAATCAAGCAGGATATCAAATGTACAGTCCACTAAGAGTCATCGTGAGCAGTCAGTAGTATCCAAAGCAAGTACTAAGTATCAAAGAAAAAGGTTGGAAGCGCAATTGAAAGCTGATGAAGAGTTGGCAAGTTTATTGAATAAGCAGATGGAAATGGAAAAAAAGCTGATAGAGGATAGGTTGACTTTAGAACAGACAAAATTAGAAGAACAATATGACGCAGTAAGTGATGATATGCAGTTTAAAGACAGAAAAGAATTGTATTCTCAAGATTCTTATGAAAAGGTAGGTGATTGGCTTACAAACAAAGTGAGAGTTGATCGATTTTCTGATGAAAAATCAGATAAAAAGTCTTCAAAAATGTCACACTCATGTCATAGTCAATGTCAGTGTCACATAGTTCAACCGAAAAATGATGTTAATTTAGATATTTCAAGTAATGAAAGTGTATCAGGTCATGAAATTAAAATGCTTTTAGCAAGGCAGGCAATTGAAAAAGATTTACCCATATTTAGCGGTGAAATAACAGAGTGGCCAAGTTTCTACCAACAGTATATTTTCACGACAAAAATGTTGGGTTTGTCAAGTGAAGAAAATATGTGGTGTGTTGAAGGTTTACTGTTGTCCGCTTCATCGGTGAGTACAGTTATTGACATTTTGATAAGTAAATTTGGTAGATCAGACCTAATAGTTAGAAGTTTAGTCAATAAAGCGAAGAATTTGGCAGTTATTAAAAACAACGACTATAAGAGTTTGAATAATATTGCAGATGAGGTTTCCAATTGGGTTGTTACACTTGAAGCCATGGAAATGACGAATTATTTGAGCTGTCCGCAGTTACTTGATGAAATGCTACAGAAGTTACCATTTTCAATGCAAATGTCCTGGGGAGAAAAGGCAGCAAAGGCAAGAGGTCAAAACACTTGGACTTCAAGAATTGGATTTGGGAAAAGGCAGAAGCTGCCAGCTATGTTCAATCAATTGTGAATGTAGGTTAGACTTCCAATCAAATCCTAAATAAAGATAGATATAAATCCACTTAGGTAACTTCTCAGAATTCTCGAATTTCCTCAGTAAAGTGTTTATTTTGCAAAGAAGAACATACATTAGAAAATTGTTCGAAATTTTTGAACTTGCCAGTTTCTGAGAATTGGAGTATTGTTAAAACAAAAGATATATGTTTTTCTTGCTTGAAAAATGACCACAGAATCAAAAATTGTCGGTTCAAAAGAAAATATAGAATCAGCAATTGCGAAAAATTGCATCAGAAAATACTTCATAATGAATCATTAGAGAAAAATGTTGAATCAAGTGATATCGTTTCTCAGGAAATTGTAGCTCATACCTCTCAATCATTTTATTCTGAAATTTAGCTGAGAATAGCACCCGTTATAATGAGGACTCAAGAAAAAGAGATGAAAATTCATGCCTTATTTGATGAAGCTTCTACAGTAACTCTGATGGATGAGGATTTAGCAAATTATTTGAATATACAGGGTGGAGAAACAACTTTAGGCTTAAAATAGACAGATATAGAATTATGCAAAATAGTAAATTCTAGGAAAGTTAGTTTCGAAATTTCTGACAAGGATAAAAGTAATTTTTTCAATGTAGAAAATGTATATACTTTGAAAAATATGGATTTGCCTCTACAAACAATTGATGGTAGGAAAATGAAAAACAAATGGGCTCACTTCAGGAGGGTAGATTTTGAAAATATGCATAATGTACAGCCAAAACTGCTTATTGGTCAGGATAACTGGTAATTGATTGTAAGTCGTGAAATAATTGAGGATCCTAAGAATTCTCCAGCTTCATCTAAAACTAAATTGGGTTGGGTTGTACATGGGAATCTACGTCAGTTTAGAAACAGAGTAGATGATACTATAGTATTACATATTCGTCATCAAGAGAGTTTTGAAGAGCAATTGCATGAAGAAGTTCAAAGTTTCTTTTCCACAGAGTCTTTTGGTGTGAAAGTCTTCAATAGAAAAGTGCTCAGTCAGGAAGATTTAAGAGCAGAAGAAATAATCAAGCAAGTAACAAGGAAAATTCCAGTTCAGAACCATTGGAAAACAGGATTACTTTGGAAAGAAGAGGTGAAAATATTACCTGACAGTAAATATATGGCTTTCAAGAGGTTACAGTATATTGAAAGTCGTATGGAAAAAGATTTCAGTTTTGCAGAAGCTTATAGGAGGAAAATAGAAGAGTATGCTGAAAAAGGATATGCGAAGAAAATAGAAGAATATCCTTAAGTGAACATATGGTATTTACCACAGTTTGGGGTTGTTAATGAAAATAAGCCAGACAAAATGAGATTTGTATTTGACGCAGCCGGTAAAGTGGAAGGTGAAAGTCTAAATGATTTTCTTCTGAAAGAACCGGATTTATTCAACTCTCTAGTAGGGATAATATGGAATTTCAGAGAAAAATCCATAGCATTTTCAGCAGACGTGGAGGAAATGTTCCATCAGGTGGTTATAAGAAAAAAAGATAGACTTGCTCAGAGATTTTTATGGAGGGAAAATCCAAATGAAGATGTAACTATGTTTGAAATGCAAGTGATGATTTTTGGTGTCATTTCATCTCCATTCTCTGCACAATACATCAAGAACAAAAATGCATTGGAATTTGAAGAAGTATACCCTGAAGCTGCTGATAGCATTATAAATCGTCACTATATGGATGATCACCTAGATAGTATTTCTACAAGCGCCGAAGCAACAAAACTCATTGAAGAGGGAATAAAAATACATGAGTCAGGTGGTTTTCAGTTAAGAGGATGGATTTGCAATTCAAAAGAAGTTTTGGAAAAAATTCCAGAGTCACTTAGGGGGAAAGATAAAATACTGGATGACAACGGTTCACAGAGAGTTTTAGGAATGAAGTGGATGCCCAAAGAAGATGTTTTAATTTTTTCATTAAATTTCCACAAAGTTAATGAAGATATTTTGACTGGTAAGATTCATCCTACAAAAAGAGATATGTTGAAAGTAGTGATGTCACTTTATAATCCTCTAGGTTTAGTGGGACATTATAAGGTGAAAATATCGATACAAGAAGTATAGAAAAGCAGGTTTAAATTGAGAATGAAATTGAATTGAATGAAAAATGGTTAGAATGGATCAGTGATTTGAAACAAATTGAACAATTGAAAATACCAAGATGTTATAGCTTTGATATGATCCAAAATACTTCTTTATAGTTACATATATTTTGTGATGCCAGTGAGCTGACATTTTGTGCAGTAGGATATTTCAGAATTAACATTGCATGTATCACAGAAAGTCCTTGGTAATGTCGAGAACACAAATTTCCTCAATAAAGCCATTGACACTACCACGTCTGAAACTTCAAGCAGCGGTGATGGGTTCTTGTTTAGCAAGACACATCAAGAAGGAACACTCACTTGAAATCAATAAAACATTTTTCTGGTCAGATTCAAGAATAGTTCTTTGTTGGTTGAGATCAGAGACCAAACGTTTTGAGACTTTCGTTGTACATAGAATGGGAGAAATTCAGGAAAATTCTAATATCTCTGATTGGCATTGGGTACCTTCCAGTATGAATGTAGCAGACGAAGCCACCAGAAGCACCAAGAAAACAAATTTGAATATAGAAGATAGTTGGTTTCAGGGTCCAAAGTTCTTGTATCTTAATGAAGAACTCTGGCCAAAATCAGGCAAAAATGTATCATGCATTTCTACCGAAGAAATTAAGAAATCAGCGTTGAAGCAATATTTCATTTTATTGCACACTTCTCAAGTTAAAATTGATTATTTACCTGATTTTACTAAATTTTCAGATTATAACAAGTTGCTTCGAGTTACAGCCTATATGTTTCGATTTATCGAAAACATGAAGAAAAAGGGAAGAGGTTTGGAGAAACAGAAACTCACATGGCAAGAACTTCAGAAAGCGGAGAGAGTATGGTGCATGAAGGTTCAGAAGAATTGCTTCTCAGAGGAAGTGAAATCATTAAAAAAGACAAACGAGGTACTGAAAAGTAGTAAGTTATTTAAATTATCACCTTGCATTGAAGATGAGGTCATTTGCTTGAAGGGTAGGATTGATTATTCACCTGAATTTTCTTATGAAACAAAACGTCCAATGATTTTGTGCAATTGCCATCATTTTACCAAACTTTTAGTTTTAGTAGTCATGCTGGACTACAATTTACATTGACAAAATCAAGATAGAAATTTTGGATTTTGCAAGCTAGGAAATTATTCTCAAGAATTTCAAGATAATGTAATTTGTGTGAAATTAAACGTGCAAAACCGCAAATACAGGAGATGGAACAGATTCCAAAAATAAGATTAACAAGACCACCAAGACCATTTGGTTTTGTAGGTATGGGTTATTTTGGTCTCCTGATGGTTACCATTGGTCGAAGAAGAGAAAAGCGATATGGGGTTATTTTTACGTGCCTGTCGATTTGAGCAATTCATCCCGAATTAGCAGATTTTTTATCCACCGATTCAGCAATCTTGTCAATAAGAAGATTCATTTCGAGAAGAGGACAGCCCGAAGTTATATAGAGTGACAATGGTACTTATTTAACCTCAGCACACAAGGAATTGAAAGAAGCTATAAAGAATTTGAATGAAGATTTAATAAACAAAAGTTTAGTAGCACAAGAAATTAATTGGAAATTTATTTCTCCAGCAAGTCCTCACTTTGGAGGAGCCTGAAAACGAATGGTAAGGTCCGTTAAAAACGCACTACAAGTCACTTTAAAGGAAAAGGCTCCATGACAAGAAGTACTCCAAACTTTACTAGCCGAAGCTGAGCATATAGTCAATAGTCGACCTCTCACATATGTTTCCTCCAATCAAGAAGATAATGAAAGCCTCACACCTAATCATTTTCTGATAGGATCATCAAGTATTGTCAAGCCACCTATCGTAGTTGATTTTACCAACAAAAATTTGAGAAAGCAATGGTACTTTGCACAGCAATTGTCCGAATGTTTTTGGAGCAGATGGGTTCGAGAGTATCTGCCAACTCTCATCAAGAGGTCCAAATAGTTTGAAGAGAAAGCCAACCTGAAGAAAAATGACAGTGGTGGTGATGGATAATGAGCTTTCGAGAAATAACTGGCCTGTAGGTAAAATAGTGGAAGTTTATCCAGGAAGAGACGGAAGAGTACGAGTTGTGGACGTACAGGTTCAGAGGAGTATTTATCGCATACCTGTAGTTAAATTATGTTTTTTAAATTTATTAGAAATGTAAGAAAATTAGATAGAGTATTTCTGTTTTCAAATACTCTGTATTAGATATTATTATGTTGTTATGTGAAATTTATATCAAGTTTGGGTTTTTTGTTATTTTCACATGGAGATAAGTTGTTGATAACAAGAAAGTGTCAAGCGAAAATAAAAGTTACTTGAAAAAAGTTAAAAACATCATTTTTTCCCAATTTCTTCATCAGAAAAAAAAGCTAAACATTGTGCTGGCCTTTCGACCGGATAACTGACTACGTATTTACAGGTAAAACTAAACAGATATGATATAAAATTGATTTGATCCAAGAAAGAATCTGTAGAAAATTAAAAAGATTAGCTGAAAAAACAATGTTACAAAGAAAAAAACTTAAATTACAATGAAATAACATACAAGCAATAACCAAAAAAATAACAAATTTAATTATTAACACGAGCTGAAAAAATTCAGCTGATTTTTCTATTTATTTACAGATTTTGTCAGGGATTTCAAATCCCTGACAGGCAATGGAATTCCGAACTGATGAAATGCATGAGATTGCTGTAGTTTCAAACATCAGTAAGGATTTAGATAAATATTGAGCTCGGACATAATATTTTTGGGAGAGATCAATTTTTGTGAAAGAAAGGTTATGGCTAACCTACTTCTCCATCTTTATAAAAGAAATGTGGGAATCTTCCAAAGAAAGAAAGAGAGTAATTAACTTCAAAACTGGATTCTTTGAAAGATTCCCAAATTTTTTGTATAAAGATGGAGAAGTAGGAACCCAAAACCTTTCTTTCATACAAAAAACTATTTGATGTTTATATGAAACTGTTACTCAACGTTTCCGATTAATACAAAATTTTCAACCACTCCAAAAAGAAGAAGGGGAATATATGGTGCTGAATTTCACTCACTATAATTGACCGCCGTATTGGTCGGTGGTTCAAGCCCCAGGCTAAACGATCGATTTTCACTTGCTATTGTCCAACCCGTGTTAAGAATTACACGTTGATAGGTAAGACCTCGTTAGCCCTTAGCTCACACAAGTTTCGACTTCTGAGGGTTGTCGTTCGTAGGGGTGCGACAGTTGGTTGACAGAAAAACAGATTTTAAACTTCCTATTCTACAAATGCATGAAACAAACCGGTTACGTCATTGTTTAATGTGATTTATATCCTGTGAAGTATGTACTTGCTGTAGGGAACATTCACCTACTTCCATACGAAACGGTGATAGATAGTCATCCACTGTGTTATCGTGATGCAACTTTGGTGTAGTAATTAATATTACTGGAGTCTTTTCGCAACACCATACCGTTATCTTAACATCTCGACACGTGTTTCGATCACCAAGTTATTATCTTCAAGAGAGAGATTAAACTAGGTAAAACAGTTCAATCATTTTCTTGAAGATGATCACCGAAACACTCGACAAAGTGTTAAAATAATGGTTTGGTATTGAAATAAAACTACAGTAATATTCACTGTGTTATCCTTAACCGACTGAACTGAAATTTTGCATATATGTTCAGTTTGGATGCCGTCATTCTTTATTCAATATGGCGAGGATCAAAATATGGCGAACTAGTGATTTGTCATGCATTTTCATGATATGATTATCGAATGAAAGGGTTTATTTCATAACTTCGGACTTCCATTGTCTAATATATATAAAAATGGATGTTTGTTGGTTGGTTGGTGATAAACTTCTACATCGCTCAACCAATCGTGATGAAACTTGACATATATAAGTAATTTTTCATAGAGAAGGTTTTTAGGCTATCAATTTTTCTGTAACTCGCCACTAGATGGCGATGGAACAAATTTTTGAAAGCACTGTTCTATAACGCTGCGCACGCCTAAGTTCGTTGATTCTAATTCTGTCAAAACATTGGAACAGCAGCGATACAGCAACATAATACTAGTTAGATATAAAATGATCTAATAGCCAAAAAGGAATCAAAAAAATTAAAAATATTAGTTGAAAAATAACATTTATATTATTCAAAAAAACTGAAATTACAAAAGAAATGAAATACAAGCATCAATGGAAAATTGAACAATCAACATGGAATGGAAATTGAAAATTAAAAGATTTCTAGCCAAGTTACTTTACGAGGTTTCAATTGTGAGTATCCACAATAGTCTTCGGGTAATGACTGTACGTATTCCTCCGAGAGATGACTATTTATCCCTCACCTATCCCCTCTACCCCTTCGCGGCTTCACTCGTTTCAACGGGAGCCGACCGTTTAGTGAGAGTTGGCCGTTTTCCGCTTGATTATAGGTTTCCATATGTTACGTATCTCTACGCTAGCTTGGCTAAATGGACAACATATATGCAGCGTCTTTGACGCTGCATATATGTTGCATAAACCAGTGCTCCTCCTTGTGGATGATTTCAGCTTGAGACCACTTGATGTTATGATTTGCTGGTTTGTCCTCGCTGTATGTGTTTCTTGTACTCGGCAATGCGGACTTTCAAAGGCCTCTTAGTTTCACCGATGAGAATTCTCCGCACTCGCATGGTATCCGGTAAATAAATTCTTGGAATCGCAGTCCGCGTTTGGTGGCCTGGTTTTCGTGAGGCTGCTATGGATAATGTTCCCAAATCTGAAGCAGGTTCTGATATTATGCTTAGATCCAATTCTTCATATCTTTTCCGACAATCCTATGAGGTAGGGAAGTACAACTACTGGTTGTGACGGCTTCTATTCCTTGTGAGGCTCTTGCTGTCTTCTGGGCAAAGTCTCTTCCACCATCGCTTTGGAGTAACCATTCCTTTGAAATCCATTTTTGATGAATGGTTACTTCAAAGTGATGGTGGAACAGACTTTGGCTAAAAGACAGCAAGTGCCACAAAAGGAAGAGAAACCGTAACAACCAGTACTTTCACTTCCTTTCATCAGAGGATTGTCGGAAAGGATAAGAAGAATTGGATCCAAGTATACCATAAGAATCTGTTTCAGATCTGGGAACACTATCCGTAGCAGCCCCACGAAAACCAGGCCACCAAACGCGGACTGCGATTTGAAGAATTGTATTTACCGGATACCATGCGAGTGCGGAGAATCCTAGTCGGTGAAACTAAGAGGCCATTGGAAGTTCGCATTGCCGAGCACAAGAAATACACACAGCGAGGAACAACCAGCAAATCAGGAATAACAGAACATGTATAGACTCGTCAACATAACATCATGTGGTCTCAAGCTGAAAACATCCACAAGGAGGAACACTGGTTTAGGAGAAAATTCAAAGAAGCCGCATATATGTTGTCCATTTAGCCAAGGTAGCATAGAAATACCAAACATATGGAAACCTATAATCAAGTGGAACACGCCCAACTCCCGTCAAACAATCAACTCCCCCTAAAATCGATGAAGCGGTGAGAGGGAAGAAGGATTAGGTTTTTAATTTTATTTATTCTTTCAGGAATTTCAAATCATTTTATATCACATCAGACGATGGAAGTCCGAACTGACGAAATGTATATGGAAGCCTATAATCAAGCGGCAAACGGCCAACTCCCGCCAAAAAGTCATCTCCTGCTAAAACCGGTGAAGCGGAGAAAGGGAAGAGGGGATAGGTGAAATCACTCGAATGACCTATAAATAGTCATCTCTCGGAGTTCACTTGTTAATTGTTCAATTTTCAATTGATGCTTCGATTTCATTTCATTGAAATTTCAGTTTTTTTGCTTGATATAAATGTTATTTTTCAGTTAATCTTTTTAATTTTATATCATATTGAACAATGGACGTTAGAACTAATGAAATGCACCATGAAATATTGTAAACCACCTTCAAACAAATATAAAACACACCACCAAAAATGAAATAACATCATTCTAAACCTAATATGAAAGATCGAACAGGATAGGTGGACACTGACTTGGTTGGTGAAACGTCCATATTGAATATGGCAATTCTGGTATTCGAGAATAGTGTTGTTTTGGATTTATTCTACGCCAGAGGTTTCAGTTAAACCTTTATGATGAGTGAAAGTCCAAAAAGACAAGTATTTTTAAAAGGAGAAATGGAAAATAGTGAATTTTCTATGTTTTCATTTCACTTTCTGTGAGTAGATATTTCCATGAGTTGTGTATTGAAAATACTTTGGGAATGACTGATGTTCATTATTAACAATGATTTATAACTTGTGGAAATGCCATCACAGAATATTGAACATAAAAAGCCGGAAATATTATTAATAATGATAACTTGACAACAACTAACACAGAACATGAAATGTGGCACAACTGATCACAACAGTTGTGCCTCTTCGGCAGTGCACCCAACACATGATGCAAGTTGTATGTATTCAAGTCCCTTTAATTTATGATTCATATATAAAATGATAAAACAAGTATGGAACTACTTCAGTTAATAGTTTTTTCATGACTAAATTATGTTTGTTTCTTTATATTGAAAAAATTTGTAACTTCAGGTAATTTGAGAATGTTAAAGTAACTATGGAACACTTTCAGAGATCAATGATTAGTTTGATGAAGTATGTCAAATGTTCACTGTAATTATGACTTAAATATAATCCTGTCCGAACACTGTCATAATTCGACCACGCCTGCGGATTATCAAATACGTCTCTTGTGAACATAAACTCCATAAAAAGTATTAACCAACTCTTGCTCCACGCTCTTCGCAACTACTGAAGTATAGATTGGCTAACTTTGTAATGTCTTCTCTCATTCAGACAGCTCATAAAACTCAGTTAATGGATGATATTTTCCGCGGATATTCTGCCGTTAGGGATGAACAAGTATGTAGAGGTATACGAAATACAACTTTGCTTCCACATACTCGTAAACTTGCAAAGAAAATACATTTTCGAGCGGATTCCGAGTGGGATAATAACTTTCAGAGTTTTATGTAGAAGATTAAGCACGAATGTATCAGGAAATCCAAATTTTTTGGATCGCTGTTAGTCAGATATTCATCTGTACGCATACACAAAATAGTAATTATTTCATTGAAGTTTTTTTGAATTGTTACAATCGAATCAGTAAATATTGAATCATACTGAAGAAAATGCGAATATGATTATCGATGACAAACTTCTGGGACCACATCGTATTATACTTATAATAGGAAATCTATCTACAATTTGTCAGATTTTTATAAGTACATCATCTGAATGTCTGATGATAGTAAATTAGAACGTCTTCATCCATTGTTTCCAGACTATTATTATTCAATTTTGAGTACACAATCAAATTCATAAATAAGTGTTGTATGGAAAAGATATGGAAAAGATCAAAATAATTCTGTCCATTATTGTCTAAAATTTTGATATCATGCATTCAGTAATAAATATTTGTCAACAATTCTAGGTTTATTATTGGTTTCCCACTGTTGGTATGCAACAAGCAACTATACTAAGTAGGTAGTATTAAGCACGTGTTCATTTATGTATTTTATGTATTCATTTTATTTCATGCAAGACTGTATACTTTTTCTGAATTGGATCAAAGGTATGATAGAAGAAAGAATAGTAAATATTTATTTTGAAAATGAACAAGGTGCAGCTAGATTTTTTTATGAAATCTATCCAGGAAACAAGATAGCATATGCATAAGTGATACAGTGATGTACAGGAGCAAGAAAAGGCTATGATAAAAAAGGCTGGAAATTACAGTTGTGAAATATTACAACTGTTTGGTCTGGGATTTTAGGAAACCATATCGTAGATCCATCCATATTTCATTGGTGGTAACCTCAAAACATACAAATATTTTGAACTTTTTGATACAAATCTGAACCCTACTCGTAGGATGATTATGGGTAAAAAACATTTTGGCTTTATACTTCTCCATCTATAAACAAAAAAAAATGCGAAACTTCCAAAAGAAGAAATGAAGTCATTTATTTTATAAAAAAGAAGAGTGGATCATACTCAGAAGTTTCTTTCAGATAAAATATGTGAAAAAGACCATTAGAAACAACTTTTTTCAAACATATAAACACTGAATTTACTTTTCCCATTCCACTTTCTTCATTCTAATTTGTGTTGTGAATGTTTGGATTAGGTACAAACTAAATATTTCACGATATGTGTTCCACTTATAACAATGTGTGGAAATAATAGTCAGTATTACCAATGAAGAAAACAGTATATCATTAGCGCACCATTGTACAAAGGTACTACCTACTGTATGTTTTCAGAAACTTATTGAAAATGTATGGGTAACAAAAACAGAAATCCTACTGCTAAGTTTGAGAAATCCTACATATTAGATTGAGGGATTTTCCAAGGTGAAAAAATATGAGCCAATATTTTGAGAAAATTCTGGTCTATCGAATTCAGAAAATTATCTGAACATGGACGAAGTTTGAGAATACAGAATTATTTCTAATAACATTATTTCAAATGACATCTGCATTAAGTTACTAACCATATATATTTTTGCCATATATTTGTATCGGTTTTTTCTCGGAAATTACGACTTCAAATCTCTAAGTTTTGACTTCAATCTCGAAATTACGACTTCCAACTCGAAATATTGATATTGATATTCCGACTTGAGTCTTGAAATTTCGACTTTGATATGAAATTTTCGATATCAAAATGGTAATTTCGCATTTGAAGTCTGAATTTTGAAATTCGAAATTCCGAGTTCAAAGTCCTAATGTGGAGTAAGGGCGATAATATCTTCCCCTACGAATACTACATCTATGGTACCAACATATAACTTAATCGTCGAATATCAGAGACAAACGGAGCTCCCCAAGGCGGTTCTTTGCAAAGCTAGCTTTGACATCAACCGTCGATGAGATTTGTCCTCTGTCTTTTAATGCTGCTTTGACTGCAAGGCAACTAGTTTTAAACTAGAGCCGAAACACAACGTAATTATGGAAAAACACCAGAAAGCGCTATTTCGACCCACTGAGGTCGAGGTCGTAATTTCGAGATTGAAGTCGAATTTCCGAGTTTTCAAGTCGTAATTTCCAAGAAAGAAATAATAAATATATGTGGGTCTTCTACGCAAATATTCCCCCTTCACTACTTTTTACTGCTTCGAATTTGAGTTATTACTCACTAGTTATCATTATCTTTCATTTTAGTTGATATATTTTTAATTCCTTTCAGTTTCGAACAAAACTGCCTCAGAAATACATTCCCAACTGATATCCACTCTCACCTCTTATAGAATTCATTTTCTTTCTAGTGGGCGTCGAACGTCTCTTTTCTAATCAAATATCAGAATCTCCAATAACCCCGAGGTGTCGAAGTGTGAACAGCAGCATGGATTACCGATATTACGTCCCGGAATAATTGAGGCCATCAATGGCATCGGAAGAGGGATAAGCATACATACAGCGTAATCCGGCCAGACTAAGGCCTTTGTAGCAGCCAGGCTATACAAACCGACTATTGCACCGACACCTCTGAAAGCGCTGATAAGTACACATTATTACGTCGGTTATTACGTTCTGGATTATATTGTGAGCTTGCCAGAGAGGCTTATCCAGATGAGAATTATTGTATTCTGGCTTATGATGTAGATGAATATTGCTACTTTTCTTCATAAATTGGAATATTGTACATATAATATATATCTTCAATAAATGTTATATATATATTGGCATTTATTCAGAATTCTCAATACCAGTTCCAATCTTATATTTCATGAAGGACATTTCTTTCAAAAATAATTCACCAGATCCATTTTCAATTCTGGATGTGAAAACTGAAACTATCCATGAATTTTCGAGTTGCATGTAATACCTTGGTTTTAATTGAACATTTTATAAAAGCTGCTCTTTCGAAATATTTTCAAGTGATTTTTAGTGTGTCCTTGCACTGATTTTTTCACCGGTATCGTACGCCTTTGAAACAATGTCAAGGATACGAGTGAAATTGAGTTGTATTCCGACCACTTTTTGGTAAATACTGTTTGAAATGCGAATAAGACTTTTTATCAAAAGAGAAATAATAGGAACAGCAGAATTGATAAGAGTTCATTTTCAGGAGGGATTGGTTTCTAGAAAAAAAGCTTCTGGGCTTTCTTTTTCACGATCTTTATACATACATTGATTTGTTGATTTTGACTTTGCTCGGAATAGTACAATAATTATGGAATATTTGGGTCATATTGCATAGCAAATGGAGAATAAATCGAAGAGAAGAGCGCCGTTTTCAGGTTATTCAGGTCCTCTGTTTTTGTAGGAGATCTCCTGTTTCGGCCACTGTTCTATTATTTGAGAGTTGAAGTCTACTGATATCTCGAAGTATGTGAAGTATGTGAGTATGACCGTCTTCGTGTTACACTACAATATAAAATAACTATAACTCAACTAATAATTTGACAATTATCAATTCTAAGGCTAGTATAATATATGAAAAATATCGATATAATATTTCACGTATAATAAACATTTTGATAAAAATGAATAACTTTGGGAAGCCGAATAGACTCATTTGTAATGAATAAATTGAAGAATTTTGTATGATTGTAAAATCTTATTGCAAAGCGTCTTCGACTATCGTCATTATCAGTGCTCACCGGGAAGTGAATAATCTAATCGAAAAGAAAGTTTTTGTGAAAACTGAAATTTGAATTTTGAGGCTATGAATTAGGAAAATTTTTGACGAGTACTTACTCGTCAGGCAACAGGAAATATCGAAATATGAGAATATGGTATATTTGTAAAATTTGATTTATATTAAACTAATTAGCCTAATAATCAACGAAATTCATGTTGGATATTGGGGCCATGTGACTAGGTCAACATGTCATGTATGAAGGACAACTTGTGACTTAATGTGTCAAGTCAAGTGTTGTGTTGAAAATAATGGTACCAAAATGAGGAGTGATCCACTATGAATTTTAAAATTGTTGTAGGGATGCCAGCATGATACTATTCAAATTTAAAATATTACATTTTGATTACAATTCACAATCATTTCATGAAAGGGAAGGAAATCTCTGTATAAGTTCAATTGAATATTCACGCAGTGATCATTGTTAGAAAATTCTTTTGGAATTCCAGCTTCCACATAAAATTCACAAAAAAAAATTCCTCAGACTGAACGTGTTCGAAGAGCTGGAGATATCAAAAGTAGTGTCTAATAATGATTACTGCTTGAATACTCAAGTTAACTTATAGAGATTTCCATACGTTTCTTCATTGAATGTAATCAATGAATTATAATTGAAATTTTAAATTTGAATAATTTCATATTGGCATCCCTACCACAATTTTAAAATTCATCAAATATTGACCTAGCCACATGGACTCAATCTCCAATAGCTAATTAATTTTATACAAATCAGGTGAGCACTGATGATGACGAAAGTCGAAAGCGCCTCACAATAAGATTATATACACAATTATACACTTCTCTACAAAATTCTTCGATTCATTCATCCTGATATCATCCTCAATGGTGTTCTTCGAAGTTTAGGAACACGACACCTCATCAGCATTATTTTCGAAAACATTACAAGACGTAGCACCCATTTCATGCATAGCTTTATGACAGTCACCGGATTTTATAACAGTACGAAAACCCATTTAAATAGATATTTGATTCAAATCCCGGAATATTCGAATTGAAGAAAGTATACATTTCAGAAGAGATTAGTTTTGAAAAACACTTTCTGCGCTTTTGCTTTTTGCTTTTCTGCTTCTCGATCTTTATAAGAAAAGTTTGGGAATCGTCGAAGAAAAGAAGAAAGCAAATGCATTCAAAGTAAACTCTTTACTGAAATGCGTAGATCAATGGATTGAGCCGCTGTCAGAGATAAAAATTGGATATCCATCAAAACAGTGCTGATGAGGTGATTAGACAGATGTCTTGTTCCGGGAATTCAAAAAACACCATTGAAGAAATTAGTATTCTATGTAGGTAAGTAACATTTTTCTTCGATAAGTTTGTTGGGGGTTAAAATGGACACCAATATGTCTTGGCACAATCATGTAGCTGGAATTGCAAAAACCGCTTCTAGAAAGCTTGGAACACTGTTCCGAATCAGAAAACTGTACATTCCTCAGCAACTTTTGATGCTTTATAAAGCTCAGATCTGACCTTTGTATTGTTCTCATGTATGGAGCTTCGCCTCTAAGCATACCCTGAAGCTGCTGGATTCCATTTATGCGAACATCACTTGCAAACTTGATAGTCTGGAACATCGAAGAATGGTAGGAGATTTGCCTCTCTTCTATAGATACTTTCACGAAAAGTGTTTGAGTGACTTGACATATACGATTCCACCAAGAGCGATACATATCAGAAATATGCGACGGCCTGTGATTGCTCTTCGTTTTGGGGTTCAACTTATTACACCCCGAATTTCACTGTTTGAGAATTGCATTTTTGTGGAATGAACTTCCTGAGAACGTTTTTACAAATGGATTCAATCTTCAGCGATTCAAATCCAATGTGAATCATTACTTTCACACAGGCACCGCTCTTAGAACGTTTCAAGGATTTTCCTGTAGTGCTTGTGTTTTGTTCTTTTAAAAAAAAACTCTTATATTACATTGCGTAGCGCTTCTATTAATGATATCTGTCGGAACTGGTGATAGGTGATGATTAGTAAAAATTAAAATAAACGAATCAACACAAAAACCCAAGCAGATGAATATTGTGGACGACTGCTCGATAATGCAGTTATGAGAAGTTAATTTTCTAACAAAAATTTATAATACAAAATAAAAATCAATAAAGAAATAAAATGTTTCTGAACAAAATAGTTGTAGGAAAAACCCTACAGAAAAAAACTGGTGTTGTGAAAACTGAAAAAATAAGAGGAATAGAACCCTGAAATCTACTCTTTCGCTAAACATCAAACAGACGTAAAATGAAAAGCATACGTGACATTAAAAACCAGTAGAACCAAAAAACAAGCAAAGTGCTAAAATAACGAAATGAAACAGCAAATTGGAAAAAGCAAATGTATTTGCAGTATTTAAGAAACAAAGGATGGACAAAAGTTGAAGAAATGGTGAAAGCTGTAAAACAAAAGACTTAAAGATATAATGGAAAAAGGAGACCAAAAAAATAATTTTTTAGTTTACTAAAATCATGAAGGAAAAGGAAATTAGGAAGCTACAGACATACTAAAGGACATGAGAAATCAGCCAGTAATGATGAATTTACTTTAAATATGTATGAATATATGAATGTATGAATGTATGAATGTATGAATATATGAATATATCATGTTCAAGTTAGGACAAAAAACGAATAGTTTTTCAATCATATCAATGAAGTGGTTTTCGTGATATGGCCAATTCTTACAAAAAATAAATGAGCAGTAATGTTTTGTAGCTACAATTAGTTGTGAAGAGCTGCTTAGTTCTGTTCATCATGTCTAGAGCGAGAAGACGAGGAAATTTCCAAAAGCTCAGCAAGTTTGACAGAGGCAAATAGTGGACTTGCGTGAGGCTGGTTTGTTTTGGGAAATAACCATACGGGTGAACAGAAGTGTAAATATGGTGATGGTTTGATATCATAAATGTTTTTGGTTATATGGGACCGCTTCACACCACAAGGACAATTGCAGCCCAAAAGGTTGGAGCGTATGGAAGAGTTCTCAGTTGGTCGGACATTCCAATTTCAGACACCGAAGTGATCGACTGGATTGGTGTAGAGAACGGCTTAATTGTAACTTCGAATGGAATACCATTGTGATGGTGTGATGAATCCAGATTCCTTTGGGCATGCATGATTATCGTGCAAGGGTGAGAAGGTGACATAGTGGATAACGAGATCCTCGATTTGCCATGGAGAGGCATGTGCACCAGACTGTTGGAATCATGGTATGGAGGGTTATTGCTAATAGAAGCAGAACAAAGTTGGTATTCATCAGAGGTGGCATGCTCGTCGTTCGTCAGATCCAGGAGGTGGCAGAACTATATTTTCTGCATTATATAAGGACGCTCATCATCCCACTTCTCCAACAAGATATTGCCCGACTTCATATGGCTGAAACTACGTTGTCCCATTTTGAAGACAGTCGAGTAGATTTGTTGCCTTGGCTCCTTAGAACACGCCTGGGATATTATGGGAAGAAGATTACCCAATATTTCACAGACTCTAGCGGTACTTTGTTATATGGTACAAGTAAATTATGAGTATGCCCAGACGAGTTTCTGAGTACATGAGTTGACATGAAGACCCAACACACTGATAATTGTTTGTACTTTCAAGAAATGTTGGTGATCAGTCAGTTACCTAACCCTTAGAGACATGTATAAAATATTGTTGGGATATATTCATTTTTACTGAGTGTCCTTTCATTTATGTCACATCAAAGAAGACACATATTTCAGCCCGTAAAAAGAAGACGATGTGGAAATCAGACTTCAACGTAGCAGAAAACACCACCAATGTATAAAAAGTGAAGTTATCACCAAACATGCAATGGGGACAAAATCATAATAGGAGCAACATAAACACTGAAAATAAGGAATGCAGCTAGATATGACAGAACACTGGCGAAAATGCTGGAAAATTTTGAAAAGAAAAAAATTAAAGCACTAACAAATTTGCATTACACATAATGAAAGAAGTAAAAATACTAAACGT